TTCACATGGTTAATACTTCTGTCCGCTTATATTTGTACACACTTATAGTAATATCACAAACCACTTTTCCACCAACCTAAAAAAAATACGTTTTTTTCTAAAAGTGGTTTATGTGAGATAATTATTTTTGTTCGCTTTCAATTTTGGGTGCTATACTGGATGACTGGGTGCTTAACTATGTGGATGGGTGCTACAATATGTGGTGTGATATTGGGTGGTTGGGTGCTACATTGGGTGGTTAGGTGCTACATTCGGTGGTTGGGTGCTACATTGGGTGGTTGGGTGCTACACTGGGTGGTTGGGTGCTACAGTGGGTGGTTGGGTGCTACAGTGGGTGGTTGGATGCTACAGTGGGTGGTTATGTGCTACAGTGGGTGGTTGGGTGCAACATTGGGTAGTTGGGTGCTACATTGGGTGGTTGGGTGCTACAGTGGGTGGTTGGGTGCTACATTGGGTGGTTGGGTGCAACATTGGGTGGTTGGGTGCAACATTGGGTGGTTGGGTGCAACATTGGGTGGTTGGGTGCTACATTCGGTGGTTGGGTGCTACAGTGGGTGGTTGGGTGCTACACTTTTATTCAAAATCTACTTTACAAAATTTAATACGATCAAGAGCTGAAGTTTCAGTTTTTGTTTCCCCACAAAGACAGCAACAATGTAACCTGCCCGACCCTTTAGATTTTTGTTTCCCCACAAAGACAGCAACAATGTAACCTGCCTGACCCCTTAGATTAAAGAATCAACACACACCTCCACACTGTCAGCAGTAGAAACCTCGAGACCCCACCTTGCATATAAAAAGATAAGACGACCCTAAACTGTCGCACTTGTGCTTGCAACAAACTAAAACAAGATGCGCTTCTTATCTTTTCTGCTTCTGCTCCATCCAACATCCAAACGTGATGCCCTCACATACAACAAAAGTAGGGTTACATACAACAAAAGTAGGGTTACATACAACAAAAGTAGGGTTACATACAACAAAGTTGGGTGAAAGATTTATTTTGTATGACGTAACCATTACCAGGGAAGATAACTCTAATGTACAATATCTAAGACAGCGGGAGATAATTCAACTGTTTACCCTGAAGAATGACGTGTATTCTGCCCCTTTATTGCAAGCAGATAACAAGAAATTTATAGTCACATCTTTTGGCGGTGTGGTATGGTGGTAGAGCGTACGACTGCTAACCCCAAAGTCTCGAGTCAGTAGGACCCCCCCCCCCCCAAAGTCTCGAGTCTGTAGGACCCCCCCCCCCCCAAAGTCTCGAGTCTGTAGGACCCCCCCCCCCCAAAGTCTCGAGTCTGTAGGACCCCACCCCCAAAGTCTCGAGTCTGTAGGACCCCCCCCCCCCAAAGTCTCGAGTCTGTAGGACCCCCCCCCCCCAAAGTCTCGAGTCTGTAGGACCCCCCCCCCCAAAGTCTCGAGTCTGTAGGACCCCCCCCCCCCAAAGTCTCGAGTCTGTAGGACCCCCCCCCCCCGCCCCCCCCAAAGTCTCGAGTCTGTAGGACCCCCCCCCCCCCCAAAGTCTCGAGTCTGTAGGACCCCCCCCCCCCTGAGTCCACCCAGCTCTAATGGTTATCTGACTCACGTTGGGGAAACACGTTGACCACATGTTCCACCTGTATGCCGAGGTCACTAAAACAGATGTACTCTACTTCACCTGCCCCATGTGTCTTGGGCTCACACGTTAACGCCACATGTCATTATGCCCTATAGTTTAGCTCCCTTCTGTCCCTATATCTCCGTCATTATGCCCTTGTCCCACAGGTCACCATCATATTTGCTTTCTTCTTTCACGCTTAAATCTGCTCGCCCCCCCCCCACATATTGAACCCTACGTCGTCGTCGTCGTCCCGTCCCCCCCGCTCACCAGTGAACCCCGTATGTCCTCCCTCACCAATGAACCCTGAATGTCCTCCCTCGCCAATGAACCCTGAATGTCCTCCCTCACCAATGAACCCTGAATGTCCTCCCTCACCAATGAACCCTGAATGTCCTCCCTCACCAATGAACCCTGAATGTCCTCCCTCACCAATGAACCCTGAATCTCCTCCCTCACCAATGAACCCCGTATGTCCACCTTTACCAATGAACCCTGAATGTCCGATGTTATTTAGGATGCTGAAATCCTCACATAGTAGAACTAGGCTAACTCCTCCAACACTGATACCAATAAAAGCCCGTAGGTCGAGTGTTTTCATCATGGGACATCACTCGCGTTGTTTACATTCTAAAGCAAGGGAAGCAATGCCAGACTTGAGTCGGTGGTGGTGGGGGGGGGGGGGGGGTTGTGAGGTAAACAATTCATTTTACCGCAGCGCCATCTACAGATGACTTGGGTATACACGTGATAGTTTTTAGATGGACATAGGGTGGCAGGAAAAGTTTAGGGTGGCAGGAAAAGTTTAGGGTAGTGTAGGAAGTTTAGGGTAGTATAGGAAGTTTATGGTAGTGTAGAAAGTTTAGGGTGGCAGGGAAAGTCTAGGGTGGCAGAGAAAGTTTAGGGTAGTGTAGAAAGTTTAGGGTAGTATAGGAAGTTTAGGGTAGTGTAGGAAGTTCAGGGTAGTGTAGGAAGTTTAGGGTAGTGTAGGAAATTTAGGGTAGTGTAGAAAGTTTAGGGTAGTGTAGGAAGTTTAGGGTAGTGTAGAAAGTTTAGGGTAGTGTAGGAAGTTTAGGGTAGTGTAGAAAGTTTAGGGTAGTGTAGAAAGATTAGGGTAGTGTAGGAAGTTTAGGGTAGTGTAAAAAGTTTAGGGTAGTGTAGAAAGATTAGGGTAGTGTAGGAAGTTTAGGGTAGTGTAGAAAGTTTAAGGTAGCGAGGAAAGTTTAGGGTAATGTAGGAAGTTTAGGGTAGTGTAGAAAGTTTAGCGTAGTGTAGGAAGTTTAGGGTAGTGTAGAAAGTTTAGGGTAGTGTAGGAAGTTTAGGGTAGTGTAGGAAGTTTAGGGTAGTGTAGAAAGTTTAGGGTAATGTAGGAAGTTTAGGGTAGTGTAGAAAGTTTAGCGTAGTGTAGGAAGTTTAGGGTAGTGTAGAAAATTTAGGGTAGTGTAGGAAGTTTAGGGTAGTGTAGAAAGTTTAAGGTAGCTGGGAATGTTTAGGGTAGTGAGAAAAGTTTAGGGTGGTGCGGAAAGTTTTTGGTAGCAGGGAATGTTTAAATTGCAGGTAAATTTATTATGTTTATGGTCGAAGGGAAAGTTGAGTGCAAGAACCGAAGTGACGTGCAGGGATCGAGTATGGTGGCAGGGAAAGTTGACTGGGTCGTCTGCTCACCGGGACACCTCACTGGGTCACGGTTGTAGCTCCATTGTTCGGCGGCCCTGGATCTCATCTCTATCCCCCCCCCCATCCCCCACCCACCTCTATCACGATATACAAGAATCAAGGCATCCATTAAAATACCATCAGTCGCCAGAGCCATTGAGCCGACTATTTATAACACAGATACCACGAGATTTGTCGAGGTTTCGAGTGCAGCTAGTCATATTTCCGTGTTGGCGCTCACACGTTTAAAATGTGTCTCTAACTTCACCAACATAACGGTTTAAAATGTGTCGCCAACTTCACCAACATAACGGTTTAAAATGTGTCGCCAACTTCACCAACATAACGGTTTAAAATGTGTCGCCAACTTCACCAACATAACGGTTTAAAATGTGTCGCCAACTTCACCAACATAACGGTTTAAAATGTGTCGCTAACCTCACCAACATAACGAGCCGCGCACGTGCGTCTGGCTACTCACACAGGCAGGCGATTGTCGACAGCACACTGCTCTTAATGCAGACGACACGATGGCTGGCAGTTTTGAATGGCCACTTGAGCTTATGACGTGTTGTGGCTGGACCCGTTGTTGGATTATGTAGGGGTCAATAGGTCAAACACAACTGTATGTACTGTATGGCGGGAAACTACATTGCGAACTTAGAATTGAATACACAGGACATTACTTAAAAGTCTTAAATTAACTCACTCACTCATAGCATTAGTAACGACAAACGTTTGTTTGATTGATTTTTTTTATGTGTGCGAGTGTATGTCTTTGTTTGTAAGCCTTAATGCTTCTGTGTGTATTTGTGTGGAAATGTATTTGTGTGTTTGTTTGTGTGTGGATGTGTGTGTATGTGGGGGTATGTGTATGTATGAGAGAGAGGCAGGTGTAGGGGTGTGCGAGTGTATGTCTTTGTTTGTAAACTTTAATGTTTCTGTGTGTATTTGTGTGGAAATGAGTTTGTGTGTTTGTTTGTGGGGATGTGTGTTGATGTGTGTGGGGGGTATGTGTATGTATGAGAGAGAGGCAGGTGTAGGGGTGTGGGCTTCCCGTGTATGTTATCTGGTCCAATGTTTAAGGGCGTCTACCCAACTATCCCTGAATGTTTTAAAACATTCCTAAGGGTGGGCGATATCTGTAAGGTGCTTCAAGTGAGACAGATTTGTTTTTTAACCGTCAGGAGGTCGGTGTTACATTACGACAAATTCCATCTTTCTACAGATAGCAAATGTCCCTCTAACTTGTGTCTCTACAGATAGCAAATGTCCCTATAACTTGTCGTGTCTCTACAGATAGCAAATGTCCCTCTAATTTGTTGTATCTCTACAGATAGCAAATGTCCCTATAACTTGTTGTGTCTCTACAGATAGCAAATGTCCCTCTAACTTGTGTCTCTACAAATAGCAAATGTCCCTCTAACTTGTCGTGTCTCTACAGATAGCAAATGTCCCTCTAACTTGTTGTATCTCTACAGATAACTGAATGTCCCTCTAACTTGTGTCTCTACAGACAGCAAATGTCCCTTTAACTTGTCATGTCTCTACAGATAGCAAATGTCCCTCTAATTTGTCGTGTCTCTACAGATAACAGTGAATGTCCCTCTAACTTGTCGTGTCTCTACAGATAGCAAATGTCCCTCTAACTTGTCGTGTCTCTACAGATAGCAAATGTCCCTCTAACTTGTTGTGTCTCTACAGATAGCAAATGTCCCTCTAACTTGTTGTGTCTCTACAGATAGCAGTGAATGTCCAGAAAACTACGTAAAGATACACCGAAGTTGCTACAAGTTTGTCACAGATGGCGACAGCACTGCCGATTGGACGGAGTCACCCGATGGTTGTGATGGTAACAATCTGGTGCTGGTACAGAGCGTGGCTGAGATGGTAAGGCTTGTTTTTACTTTCTCTTATAGAGGACGTGTTGTAATCTTGCTGAATAGTTAAAAATGTATTATGACAGTTTTCACCGTTTTACACCGTGTATTGTGATCGTGCGAGAAAAATCTAAAATTGAGTATGACAAATGTTGATGTTTTACAACCTTCCAGAACCGGAAAAATTTAGTTTTGCAACCCTGTCCGTCTGTTTGTATGTAAGCACGATAACTTGAGTAATATTTCTGTTAGATTGACGAAATTTCATACCTAAGTATTATATCAAATTTGTAGTTTTCTTTCCGACTTTTGAGCGATTTTCATTACTTATTCCTTTTCTGGTTTCTCAAAAATATAACTGGAATACCGTCTAAGTTAGCTGGACGAAATTTCAAATATAAATATTAGATTGAATGAGAAATTCATATATAACTTATAAACGGTTTCCGGTAGCCGGAAATGGTACTGTATTCTATTTCCGTGGAAACACTATAACTTGAGCGCTGATTCACATAGCTAACGAAACCACATAAATAAGAATCAGATTTCGTAGTTGAATTATTCTCAAATTTTTAGTGAATCCCATTATACGGAAATGGTACTTTATTTTCTGTTTCTAAATACGGATAACATAAGTATTGTTTCAATCAGGTAGACGAAATTTCATACATAGTTATAAGATATTTTTTTCCCCAAATGTGTGATTTCCCGCAGGCCGGAAGAAGGACGTTACGCTATTTCCGATTTCTCAAAAATATAACATCTACCGGACCGATTTTTTTCAAACTTTTCATGTAGGTAAAGAACTAAATGACAAAGCACTGTGACTTAAATGTGACTTAATTAGATTTTAATTACTTTTAAAAAAAAAATATTTTTTTTTCCCTTTATTGCTAATACTCTTTTACGCACTCATTTTTACATTCATTTTATACTCGATTCTATACTATTTAAAAAATCACTAAGAATATGTCTATAGCCCGATTGTACTGAAATTGCCACCTTCTTTACTGTTGTATAAGACTATACGAGACTGTTTAGTGAAGATCACTCCCGTTTTATTTATACAAGATTTTTCCTTTGTGGTCAAAACTCGAAACTCATTATTTTAGCAACTTCTCGTGTAAATCATTTACGTTTAAACTTCCCAAAAATGTGCATTTCGGATGACAAAGCAAGAATTTAAGATATTACATTTAGCAATGAATTTAAATATTATATTCAATCAAAAAGCGAGACAACTAGTAGCCATTGATTAGTCTATGAGTCACAAGAGCTGGTGGCCGAAATAGAATGTTTATAATCTTACAGACCAGACGAGTTCATGGACAATTTAAAATCCCACAGAATTTCTAGTAGGATCTAATACCACTGCAGCTGGAGTGATCTAATGTTCGACTGAAGGTGTAGCCTTTTAAAACACACCTGGCAAACGCGACAGCTTTTCCAAAACCTAACCTTTACCCATCGTCTCCAATCTGTGTTATTCCATTTTAATCGTTTTAACCGCTCTTTTACGTTGGTGATAAAATATGTTTATTTTTGCATGAAGAAGTTACGTCACTAGTAACCTTGACCTCTGTAACCCCCAGAATAAACTAGAAGAGTACATGAACAAAAACAAATTTGCTGCCGGCAAATATTGGGTCGGTATAAGGAAAGACACGACCAAGGGAGACAAACCAAAATGGTTGGACAACTCGGATGTTTCTCAGTAAGTTTTTATTTGTTTGTTTAGTCAATTTTAATTTTTTTTAAATCACGATTTTTTATTTTTTTTAATAAAACGTTAATAAAAAGTAATTTTTTAAGAGGATTCCCCCCCCCCTCCCGTCCACCTCAATTATCACACAGCGTCACTAAAAGTGAGGCTACCCCCTTCCCCCCACCCCTACCACCTCCCACCAAAATAGCTTTTTATACCCCCCCCCCTCTCCCAAAAACACAAATTTTCCTTTTAAAAAACATTATTTCTCCTCAGACCAATAATTCAAAAACCAAATCCAACAACACACAATCTCTACCAAATCCAAAAAAAAATTCCTTTCTCTACATACTAATAATTCAATAACCAAATCCATCAAAATATCTCTACCAAATACAACACAATGTTTCTCCTCTAGACCAGGGGTCTCCAAACTACGGCCCTCGGGCCGAATGCGGCCCGCGATGTCCTCTCATCTGGCCCGCTGAGAACATTTTGTCCACGGAAATAAAAACGTTTGTTGGTGATGGCTGAGGAACTTTGTCCAGAAAATTCAAATTAAAACAATTTGAAAATTGTAGCTTAAGGTGCAACTACCGTTGCCCACAGAGTTGCAAACATTGGTGACCCAAAGAGATCTAGCGAAAAATGCAAGCCAGTTTCGCAATTTTTCAATTGCAATGGATGAGTCGCTGGATAGCTGTTTCACCTCTCAACTGCGTGTGTGTGTTTATTAGAGGTGTGGATAAAGACATGAACATAACACAAGAGCTGACTTCCTTACATAGCATGTATGACACTGTTACCGGAGATGATATATTCAATGAGTTGAAAAAGAAGCACTGATTATAACTTAGTCCGGACTAACCTGTTACCTTACTGTTGGTGGAGGTAAAAACAAGAAGGGCATAAAAAAAGGCTTGGTTGGACAAGCGAAGTAGATGTGTAATGAGATAAACATTCTACAACCAATGTTCCTGCGCTGTATTATTTATTCACCAGCAAGCTTTGTGTGCTTAATATGTGGACATAAGCAGTGTAGTGAATCCTGTGTTGAATATGGTGACTTTAATAAGGTCACATATTCACACGGGCTCAACCATATATAGTTCAGAGACAAGTTGAAAGATACAAACACAGAATTGCAAGATTTACCAGTAAAGATGGCTAAGTTTTGAGAAAGTTCTGAGCAGAGTATTTAAGTTATGAAAGGAAATAGGTGATTTTCTGGAAAACAAAGCAAGCCACAGCCATTAATGTTTGATGAAGTGGGTATAGAAATTGGCCTCCGCTGCAGACATAACACGTCATTTAAATTTTCTGATCCTAAAACTACAAGAGAAGGAAATCTAGATTCTGATCTATACACCTAAAGGCTTTCAGATCCAAACGTGTCATGTTTTCGGAACAAGTACAGGCCAACAACTTGGCGCACTTTCAGCAGTGCAAAGTCTTCATGGCTAAAGCAAAACTGCCCCCCCCCCCCCGGTCATTTGCATGCAAGATCATCAAAGACCTCCAGCTGCAGTTTCAGTATCGGTTTTCTGACTTGGATTCAAAGGCAGAAAAACCCATTTGAAGCAAATGTGGTGTGGCCAGTTGCCCAGATGAACTGCAGATGGAGGTCATTGAATTGCAAGCAAATGACCTCCTTAGAAACGAGTTCAAAGAGGGACAGGTGGGTTTTTAAATACGTTTTTGTCCAAGGAAGACTTTTCTAAAACTTTTGCATCAAAGTACCTTTCAAATTTTGCAACAACATACCTGTGTGAAAAACATTTTCAAGATTGAAATACGTGAAGAACAATTTGAGAACTTGAATCTGGAGTGTATTGTCGGCCCCCGACAGTGTTTCTTTCAGACTTTTTTCTCCGGGGGGGAGGGGGCTGACGACGACACTTGAAATCCGTATATATATCTATATAAATTATTTTTATGTATTTATATTCTTGGGGGGGGGAGCTCTACCACCCAGAAGAGATGCCTGGGAAAATCTCTGGCCCCCGAACTGATTTTTGATAGTTAATGCGGCCCTCGATCTGAAAAGTTTGGAGACCCCTGCTCTAGACCTATAACTCAATAACCAAATCCAACAAAATAGCACCTCTCCACAGACCTTTTCTTCTTCTTCTTCGTTCTTAATTATTAGTGTTGAAGGGGATCGAGATTTATCTGCCAGTGGGGTTGAACTCGAGACTTTGTCCGAATTTATCAACCATGACAACTCGACCACGCCTCCAACACAATTAAGCGTTACGTGTCAACTGGTTATGCGCCATTGAGGCCATTGACTCCGATTTCAGCCTGCTTTTCTTTTTGGATTTGCTTCCATAGCCTTTGCCCAACCGAGAACAAACTACAAGGCAGCAGTTGTTTAATTTTGGAGTTGTCTCTCCTAGAAGAGTGGCTGTCCCCAGCTAACTTGCCTCATCTGCCCGAGGGTTCGAACTCGAGACTTTTCGCTTTAGCAACCATGAGCTTTACCGACTCGACCACGCCGACCCCCTCTCCACAGACCAATAACTCTATAACCAAAGTCAACAAAATATCATCTCTACCAAATCCAACAACACACCATCTCTACCAAATCCAACACAATATTTCTCCACAGATCAATAATAAAACCCAACAGAAGAAGATACGACTGTAGCGCAATAAATTTACAACCCAACCAGTTTCAACTTGTTCTACATGACTGTGACGACACACTGCCCTACATCTGTGAATACACACAAAGTAAGTACTTGACGTCTGCTAGAGACTTCTGCTGGTAAAGTCTAACTGTGACGTCTGCTTGTGATGTTTGTGATGTTTGTTACGGTCCTGCTTGTGTGTTTTACCTGTGACGTTGATTTTGTCACTTTTCTAAAGAAAAATAAAAAATAAACTAAACAGTCTAACTTCACCTTTGCACTACACGATGCATATATTTTTTTTCAAAAATTTGCTTTTATTTCAAGGCTCCTAATTGTTTAGTCATAAGAACTTTATCATTTCAATATTTCTATGAAAGTGATATACGAAGTTTAGTTCCCTCCCCTGATCTGTTGTTTGACCTAGTGACCTGCTTTATTGACGTGTTAACCCTAACTCGACGTGTTTAACTTGACTTGCTTAACCTTTTTATTCTTCCATTTGTTTTTTGTTTAACTCAAAAGATTGGCTTTGTTGGCTGTTTTTAAAATTACTAACAGAACACAGAACTCTTGTGGTCCTAATGCACTGTGGTATCGATGGCTTCATGCAAGAAATCTAACACTGTGAGCTCACGTGAGCTTAATTAACCCTTAGATCCCCACAGGAGGCTAAAGTAGGTCAACATGCATGGCTTTGGAAGTTCCATCTCCAGAACGAGGTTCTGTTATTTCCCACCTGTCTTCCCCAGTTTCTGAACGCTCGGCCATCACCGTCACGACGTTCTCAACGGAAGAAACGGTCGTGGGCTCGGCCATGCCCCCACCTCAGGTTGAACCTGAACCGTCAGTCGAGGGTCAGCCGTGTGTGACGTCAAACTTGGACCCCAATCTCCTGGCCAAACGGCTGCTGAACACTGACGACACCTTGTACAAGGAGTACCTTCAGAGTGAGATCAACGCCAATCAGGCCAAGGTGGCATACTATGACAAAGTGGCCAGGCTGTACGAAGCTTCTCTCACCCTCAACAACCAGTACCTGGCCAGGTCACAGGCCAAAGTTGAGATAGAAATTGATCAGCTAAAACAACGCGGCAACTGCAACAACTAGTTACACTGAACGTCTAGACCACACTACATAACAATTATATTCAAATGTCATAGACAACAAACAGCGAACTGAGAACTAAAACAAAATCAAACCAGTTTTTCGTCGGCACAGACAAACATACATATTGGGTTCAAGATCAGCCAAGTAGAATTTAAACTGAGGAATTATGTAGCTTTCAAGTGCCCTGATTTAGTCAATAGGAAATCCTTAGTGAAACAACGACATGAGAACAATAATTTGTTGAAGCCAATGAAAAACCTATCAAACGTCATGTATCAACGTCTGTCCGTCACGATATTCTGTCAAACGTTTGTTAAATCAGACCATTTTTGTGTTATTGATATTTACAACAATATTTAAAACGCTGACAATCAAAGTCAACCATTTTTATCAAAATTGTGTTTACACTAGCTTTAAAAATTACACGGATCTTACTTTGGACCAAGTTTTAAATTTTTATCCGGCATTCTAAAAGTTCAGTGTATTTTTTTTTTCTTCAACACCAAGTTAAATTGTACCTAGTTTTAAAAGTGCAATAGTTTGTTCTTTTACTTTGCTCAAAGGTTCAACTGAAAATGCTTTAAAAGTAGAATGGTTATGGTTTTTGTTTTGTTTTCGCCTCAATGTGTAACTGGCTTTCAAATGTATATTTGACACCAAGATTAGCTCCAATGTTTGACTGTACATAGATCAAGATTAGCTGCTGTAAACTGACCTTACTAAATCATGCTCACACTGACACTCTTAGCCTACACTCACTGCTCCATATGCAAGTGTTGGCCAGACTTTGTACAGAAATATTTTATACAACTAATATATTACTGACCAAAATATTTACATTTAAACAATATCAGATAATATATCATATGCTTTAATAATTTTATGTGATAAATTTAAAAAGAAATATTTCAAATTTATTTAAAAGGTGATTTATTTTTCACACCGTTTCTAATATTTTACTATTGAGACAGTCCAACACTGTCACAGTAGTTTGTGAATACTTTTCACTGGCAATACAAAGTGTGAATAAGTTTGACAAACTTGTATAAGCCGTCCATCCGCCTACATGTGAACTCTACTAGAAACAAAATTGTGATTTGATGTCAATGACATGAGTACATGTTTCTGTACTGTGACCAAGTTTTTTTTTTACTGCTGCAGATTACAATACAATGTAACATTCTATTTTTCTACTGCCAACTGTATATACAATCAAATTTTGTCAATATTCAAATTTTTATTTTAAAAATTAAAAAATAAAGTAATATATTATTTCTATGCAAATTATTTTTTCTTCATTTAAAAAAAATATATTTGTATAGTACTTACATTCCTTTTTTCCCCTAATAACTCTAAGTTTACATTTACTCTAATAAATAAATGGTGATAAGTCATAAAATAATTATCAAGTTGTGGAGAATGAAATTACTCAAACTTTGAAACATACCATCCTGACATATTGAAAACATTTACCTACAAACTGAATACCCAAACAAAAAGGACATTGTAGTGTCGACTGGGGGCAGGGGAGGGGGGGGGGGGGTTCCTGACCTACTCGCTAGCTCCACTCGGCCATTCATAAATCAAACATCAGGCGGTCGTAGCCATCTAATGGATCAGGCTGTACACAACTGCTGTTTCATGACCTACAGGTTGACAGTAGATGGTGTCAGGTTCTGTGGTTGTCAGGTCCTGTAGTCAGGTCCTGTGGTTGTCAGGTCCTGTGGTTGTCAGGTTCTGTGGTTGTTAGGTCCTATGGTTGTCAGGTCCTGTGGTTGTCAGGTCCACTGGTTGTCAGGTCCTGTGGTTGTCAGGTCCACTGGTTGTCAGGTCCTGTGGTTGTCAGGTCCTGTGGTTGTCAGGTTCTGTTGTTGTTAGGTCCTATGGTTGTCAGGTCCTGTGGTTGTCAGGTCCTGTGGTTGTCAGGTCCTGTGAATGTCAGGTCCTGTGGTTGTCAGGTCCTGTGGTTGTCAGGTCCTGTGGTTGTCAGGTCCTGTGGTTGTCAGGTCCTGTGGTTGTCAGGTCCTGTGGTTGTCAGGTCCAGTGGTTGTCAGGTCCAGTGGTTGTCAGGTCCTGTGGTTGTCAGGTCCTGTGGTTGTCAGGTCCTGTGGTTGTCAGGTCCTGTGGTTGTCAGGTCCTGTGGTTGTCCATCACTCAGGGTCTGCTCATAAATCATCCATTTTGATTAGAGAACTATTCGACATGATCTAGCTCAAGACGTGGATGGAAAGGAACAATAATGTCCATACGATATGACTGATGGGATCATCTAATACATGACTGATATTATCCTGTAAGACATGACTGATGTTATTCTCTAAGAAATCACTGATGTTATTCTTTAAGACATGACTGATGATACTCTCTAAGACATGACTGATGCTATCACTATATTTCAGTTACTGCCCGCCCCCAAACCGCCACTACAACTCCAGACATGCAGATAGCAGACAGCAGCGTGCTACCCACAGGAACTATCCGCCTCGACCCATCCATCCCAAAATCTGCCACCCCTGGAAATGTCAACAACACATCAGCAACACAAGGAACAACTAAACCAACAGTCTACGTCCATCCACCAACAGAAAAGACCCCTACAGTCAACACACACAAAGCTCCAGAAGTTTCTCGTAAGGAGAAAGTTCCAGAAGTTTCAAGTCAGTCCAGCACTAGCTCGAGCACAGTAAGGTGAGAACTACATCATGTCCCATCTATGTGGGTGTGTCTTACATCATGTCCCATCTATGTGTGTGTGGCTTACATTATGTCCCATCTATGTGGGTGTGGCTTACATTATGTCCCATCTGTGTGGGTGTGGCTTACATTATCTCCCATCTATGTGGGTGTGGCTTACATCATGTCCCATCTGTGTGGGTGTGGCTTACATCATGTCCCATCTATGTGGGTGTGACTAACATCATGTCCCATCTGTGTGGGTGTGGCTTACATCATGTCCCATCTGTGTGGGTGTGGCTTACATCATGTCCCATCTGTGTGGTTGAAATATCTGAGCTCTACCTTAATTCAAAGTTTTCAAGTTTTCTTTTTCTTTTCTGAAGCACAACTCAGAAACCATCACCAACGTCAACTACCACAGTTACAACACCAACCACCAGTAGAACAACTACTACCACAACAACAACAGCAAGCACTACCACATCCAGGAAGACAACCACGACACCAATCACCACACCAAACCGACCTACCAAGAGACCAACCACCACACCTGCCAGCACTACCACCACCAGCTCTGTAGAAACCAAACTAAAAGCTTATAAAAACTGCTACATCCCAAGTTTTGGCTCCAATTTAATGGAACAATTAATCACTGCTGAAACTTTTTACACCAACCCTCGTGTGTGTCCCAACACAACCATTGGTTCAGTCAACTGGCCATCTACACTTCCTGGTCAAACAGCTCAAGTCCGTTGTAAAAACAGAAAAGGTAGGTGCCACTGGTTTTATGCTACAAAACTAATGCTCATTATGTATTTGTCTATTTGTCTTTATGTTTGTGGTACCAAATACATTAAATTCTGCTGTAAAAATAGAAAAGGTTGGTACCACTTCTTTTATGCTGCTTGTTTCAAAACCAATGCTCATTATGTATTTGTCTTTTATGTTTGTGGTACCAAATACATTAAATTCCGCTGTAAAAATAGAAAAGGCTGGTACTGCTGTTTTTATGCTGCTTGTTAAAAAATTAATGCTGAGAAGGTATTTGTATTCAGAGTTCCTTCCAGGCAACCCCGAACGAAATGAAATTTATATAATTTATATAGAAAATATATACTTTTAACACTCTGCGCCCCCCCCCCCCCTCCCGAAAAAAGTCTACCGCCCTGCCCCCGAAAATTTCAAGTGCCCCCGCGGAGAAAAAAGTCTGGAAGAAACACTGTTTGTATTTTATGTTTGTGCAAGCAAATCCAAACAAATATATAAATAATATAATTTTTTTATTGCTCCAATCCCAGGTACAGCGACGTGGGCCTGTAGCCAACAAGAGACAAAAGTCTGTTGGATTGGTCAGCCTGATGTTTCTGGGTGTGTGGATGAGAAGCTGCAGAAAATATTGAACCTGGTGAGTCACCTGTTAGTTGTTGAAGCAGCTTAGGTGTGGTGTCATGAACCTGGTAAGTGGCTGAAGCTGCAGTGTTGTGTCAGGGAAGTTGTCAAGTCCTGAATCATCGATCTGGTATTCCTCTGGTCAGCACACATACACAAACCAGACCCATGAGAACACCAACCCTAAGGAATGCTAACAGACAAAATCACATACACAAACCAGACCCATGAGAACACCAACCCTAAGGAATGCTAACAAACAAAATCACATACACAAACCAGACCAGTGATAACAACAACCCTAAGGAATGCTAACAGACAAAATCACATACACAAACCAGACCAGTGATAACACCAACCCTAAGGAATGCTAACAGACAAAATCACATACACAAACCAGACCAGTGATAACACCAACCCTAAGGAATGCTAACAGACAAAATCACATACACAAACCAGACCAATGAGTACACCAACCCTAAGGAATGCTAACAGACAAAATCACATACACAAACCAGACCAATGAGTACACCAACCCTAAGGAATGCTAACAGACAAAATCACATACACAAACCAGACCAATGAGAAGACAAACCCTAAGGAATGCTAACAAACAAAATCACATACACAAACCAGACCAATGAGAAGACCAACCCTAAGGAACGCTAACAGACAAAATCACATACATACCCACGATACCGTTTCTACAACATTCCACAATTTTCGTCCACAGGCTACCAAAGTAGAAACACCATCAACATCAACAAATGAAACGAAACCAACAGAGCCTCCACCTAGCGGCGAAGAAGTGGTAGAGATGACGTCACAGATCAAAGAAGTGACGACTGCGAAAGAAACAACAATGGAGGATGTGTTAGTCACATCACAAGTTCTAACGTTAGTCACCAAGAAAAAAGCCAACGCCCCTCCCAAAGACATCCAGGAGATTAAGGACATTGTCGATGTGAGTGCTTCCAGATACTGATATCTATTTAGCCCTCCGTCATCTTTATCTCTTAGCATTACTCACCCTACAACTTTGGCTGGCACAATAACATGTAAGCCCCCCCCGTACCCCAATATTAATATCACAGTACCCTAATACACAAGCAGGGCTGCACTGACTGGGTCCAATAGACCCGGGGGAAGTTTTTAAATTGCTAAAATCTCAGATTGAAATTTTCATTGTGCATTTTGTCCCCATCAAATCCTGGTGATCCTCATCAACTTGATGGGAATTCACGTTACAAATTATTTCTTAAGCAAAGCACTAATATGCCTAGTACACCCCTGTTCCCGGGAACCACGTGATATCTTTACCAGTCCACCACTGCACCCTTATCAAACAAACCCAGTACCCAAAATATATAGATGCCTCTATACTCCATCACATCCTAACACCCCAGTGGTCCTATCTTCACACTAAAGTAGCCCAATACAACGAAATACCTCAGTGCCCGAATATAAACACTCCAAAACCCCCACAGACAGCCTAGTACCACAACACTGCCAAACACTCCAGCGCCCCAATATAAACACCCCAGTACCCCCCCCCCCCCCCCAAAATCAGATGATATCAGCTCACCTGTAGTAATCCACTCAACTTCTTAAAAAAGAAATCGTTTTCACCTCAAACTGCCAATTCACCCCATTCCCCATGTAATGAAGCCTGCCAATCCACCCCATTCCCCATGTAAGGAAGCCTGCCAATTCACCTCATTCCCCATGTAAGGAAGCCTGCCAATTCACCTCATTCCCCATGTAATGAAGCCTGCCAATTCACCTCATTCCCCGTGTAATTAAGCCCGCCAATTCACCTCATTCCTCATGTAATGAAGCCCGCATATCCTGACCTTGACCTCGCATCTCGCGCTAATAAAAGTCGCGCATGCTCAGACAGGCCAGGTTTATGGTTGGAGTCCACCAACTATCATCTCCGTCTTCACTTCCACCCTCTTTCAGAATGTCATCGCAGCAGGAAGTAATCTCGTCTCCACCAACAAATCAGCCATGTGGGAGGAAATGACGCAGGTAGATAAGGTCAACTCGGCATCAACACTTCTGGTTGCCATGGAGACAGCGACGTTAGCCATGGCAGAGGAAATTAAGCAACCGATTGTGATAACTCAACAAGATGAGAATATCGGTGAGTGTGAGCTGGGCTGTCTGGATGTTGATTGGATAGTTGCTTATCTACAGGCTGTTTGATTGGACAGTTGCTTATCTACAGGCTGATTGTTTTGGACAAAACATTGTCTGAGTAAAGATGGAGACTTGCTAAAAATAGTCTTTGATTTATCGTTGTATTTTGTGAGTGGGATACTTCAAGAATATACAATTTTGGGTAGCACGGCAGGTCATGACCTGGTACAATCCCCAAAGGGAGAAGCATGTCAGGTTATACCATATGGGGAGTGTACCAGGTCATACTCTATGGATAAGCATGTCAGGTCATGCCCTAAGTGGCAGTATGCAGGTAGATGATCTGGTTACAGGTGCTGCGTCTTGTAGGCACTAGGTCGAGGGGAGATTGTCTGTGGTAGCACCCAGCAGACAGCACCATCTAGCACCCAGCAGACAGCACCATCTAGCACCCAGCAGACAGCACCATCTAGCACCCAGCAGATAGCACCATCTAGCACCCAGCAGATAGCACCATCTAGCACCCAGCAGACAGCACCATCTAGCACCCAGCAGATAGCACCATCTAGCACCCAGCAGACAGCACCATCTAGCACCCAGCAGATAGCACCATCTAGCACCCAGCAGACAGCACCATCTAGCACCCAGCAGACAGCACCATCTAGCACCCAGCAGATAGCACCATCTAGCACCCAGCAGACAGCACCATCTAGCACCCAGCAGATAGCACCATCTAGCACCCAGCAGATAGCACCATCTAGCACCCAGCAGATAGCACCATCTAGCACCCAGCAGACAGCACCATCTAGCACCCAGCAGATAGCACCATCTAGCACCCAGCAGATAGCACCATCTAGCACCCAGCAGATAGCACCATCTAGCACCCAGAAGATAGCACCATCTAGCACCCAGCAGATAGCACCATCTAGCACCCAGCAGATAGCACCATCTAGCACCCAGCAGATAGCACCATCTAGCACCCAGACTGTGCTATGTAGCACCAACATTTAATTTACCTGGAAGTTTATCTATTACGTCATCAGGGCGTATGATGGAATGTTTCAGTTGTAGATTTGCCCCCCTCCCAATCAGCAGTCCAAGATGGGGACGGGGGGGGGGGATATATCGTCTGAAATTTAATACACAACCACCTTTTAGTAATATGATTGGTGTGCAGCCTTTGTTCATATCTGGTACTTATGTTGTCTACTTTTATAACCTACTCTGTTGCCAAATAAATTAAGGCATTATTTAACAAAAAGCAGTTTTGGTATGTCTTAGCTACTAAATTTAAATACCAAAATTCAAATATTTCTTATGAAAGTTTCAAACAAGCAGCATGGACTTCGTTGTGAAATGTCGAATTTTTGTTTTGCCAGATCTAAAACTACACGTGATCAGTGAAGACACGTTCACCAAGGAGAACAAGACAGAACTGGTCTATACAACTGACCAATCAGAAACATCGTTCACCATTCCTAAAGAAACTTTGTTCATCTTTAACAAAGGTCGGATAATTTTCTTTTTCAATTTACTTTTAAACTAACTTACTAAAATACAATCACCATAAAATATATGCTACATGCATCTAATTAGTTTAGGCCTAATGACTGAGATATACGTATATTGTTTGATCTTTGACCTTACAGAAGGTGAACTGGCCAAGGTTGTTTTTATGACTCATTACTCCATGGCCGACATCCTGGGGGTCCAAGAGAAACCAAAGACAAAAACTGACCCGGAAGTGAACGTTGAGGAGAAATCCTCCAAGAAGAAAGAGAGAATGGAGGAGAAGTCTGATATCAGACTCCACATAGCGAGCTACATACTCAGCGCCTCACTAGGGGCAGATGGACATACGCACAAGCTTCCAAAACCTGTGACCTTCAGGATGAAACATGTCACGGTATAGCTATTCAAATATTTTTTAACATAAACTTATTTAAGTAAATAAATTATAAATTAGTAAATTATAAATGAGTTTCCTAAAGATGTTGTTTTGAAGATGTAGATAAAAGGGGACCTGTCCAGAATATTTAAACAGGATACAAGGCATGTGTTTGTTACCTGAAAACTTTTATTACAAGTGGGACGAGACCAGATAGAATATTGAGATAAATGGCCGCGGTTTCAACAAGCTTCTGTCAGGCTGCTGTTTATCAGCAAGACAGAAGTCTTCTGTTGGCCTCTGGGATGCTATGTTGGAACTATTCAAAGCTGGGCTTGGGGAAAAAATTAGATGGCACTGTTTTGGAGCCAAACTTTTCAAACAACGTATTCATATCAGATAGGGAGGTCTAGGGTTTTTTTAAGTAGAGGTTCTGTGGTCTATCGTTTAGCGCCCTGGTCTATTTGCTGGCCCAGTATGATGGCTCAATTCCCTGTATAGTTGCAACAGCTGTTTATGGCTCCATGCTGTTTTATGGCTCCATGCTGTTTTATGGCTCCATGCTGTTGTGTGGCTCTATGCTGTTTTGTGGCTCCAGGCTGTTTATTTTTCCATTCTCTAACTGGAGACTCCACGTAGTTGACCGACAACTGCTTGCTGGCTCCATTGATGTATTTATTGTCCACCAATATCCAATAACTCTCCTACTACATAGAAGACCAGAGTTTATAAATAAACCTCCCCATTCACATTCTACTCACACATACTTAAAAACTGTGCTTTGCTGATCCTAAAACTTGAATCAAACATTGATCCACATTCTAGACCCACAAAATTAAAAACTTTGTGTTTTGCTGGCCCTAAAACTTGCATCAAACATTGTCCAATCTGTCCACAGCCAGTAGATCCTAGCTACAGAACTTTGTGCTCCTTTTGGAAAATTTCTGACGGGTAAGTTCTTGTCTTTGTTCTCTTCTTCTAACTATGTTCTTTAGACATGCTGGATGTGCTTCTTCTATCTATACTATCACTATACAATCTACAAACATGAATGGGCACACCATTCACTAGTACCCACACAGTGTTGTATAGTTTGGATGCAACCATGAAGACGTTGCTCTATGTTTAGGTCATCAAGCGGCTACTGGTCCCAAGATGGCTGTAGGGTAGCATCAACCAACGCCACATACACAACCTGTGAATGTGATCACTTGACCAACTTCGCCATCCTGCTGGACGTGCATGCACTCAAGGTAAGAATTTTTTCTACGTCTTTCTTGTAGCTGACCTGTCCTTGTCTTTGTTATACTTGTCCAGTCTTTGTTGTACCTGACCTGTTTTTCTGCCACGTCGTTGCTCCCTCCCTCATGTTCTCTCTGTTGCCCCCCCTCACGTTCTGTCTGTCGCGCCCCACCCCCTCACGTCCTCTCTGTTGCCCCCCCCTCACCAGCTCTCTGTTGTCCCCCCCCTCCCCTCACGTTCTGTCTGTCCCCCCCCCTCACGTTGTCTGTGTTGCTCCCCCTCACCATCTCTCTGTTGTCCCCCCCCCCCTCACCATCTCTCTGTTGTCCCCCCACCCTCACGTTCTCTCTGTTCCTCCCCCCCCCTTACCTTCTCTCTGTTGCTCCCCCTCACGTTTCCTCTGTTACTCCCCGTCCCCCTCACGTTCTCACTGTTGCCCCCCCCCCTCACGTTCTCCCTGTTGCTCCCCCTCACGTTCTCCCTGTTGCTCCCCCTCACGTTCTCCCTGTTGCTCCCCCTCACGTTCTCCCTGTTGCTCCCCCTCACGTTCTCTCTGTTGCCCCCCCCCCCTCACGTTCTCCCTGTTGCTCCCCCTCACGTTTCCTCTGTTACTCCCCGTCCCCCTCACGTTCTCCCTGTTGCTCCCCCTCACGTTCTCTCTGTTACCCCCCCCCCTCACGTTCTCCCTGTTGCTCCCCCTCACGTTCTCCCTGTTGCTCCCCCTCACGTTCTCTCTGTTGCCCCCCCCTCACGTTCTCCCTGTTGCTCCCCCTCACGTTCTCCCTGTTGCTCCCCCTCACGTTCTCTCTGTTGCCCCCCCCCCCTCACGTTCTCTCTGTTGCCCCCCCCCTCACGTTCTCCCTGTTGCTCCCCCTCACGTCCTCTCTGTTACCCCCCGTCCCCAGACTGACAAGGTCCACAAGGAGGTCCTGGACTGGATCACCAAGATTGGTTGCATCATCTCCTGTACAGCTCTACTGGCCAGCTGGATCACATTCCAGTGTTTCTCGTAAGTACTGGCTCACTGTGTGTGTGGCAGAAAGTGATACAGTGTATGGGAGATCGTGACAGTTTGTGACAGTGTGGGGGAGATTGTGACACTGTGTGACAGTGTTGGAGATTGTGACAGTGTGTGGGAGATTGTGACAGTGTGTGGGAGATTGTGACAGTTTGTGGCAGTGTGGGGGAGATTATGACAGTTTGTGGCAGTGTGGGGTGATTATGACAGTTTGTGGCAGTGTGTGGGAGATTGTGACACTGTGTGACAGTGTGTGGGATATTGTGACACTGTGTGACAGTGTGTGGCAGTGTGTGTGAGATTGTGACAGTGTGTGGGAGATTATGACAGTGTGTGGCAGTGTGTGGGAGATTATGACAGTTTGTGACAGTGTGTGGGAGATTGTGACACTGTGTGACAGTGTTGGAGATTGTGACAGTGTGTGGGAGATTGTGACACTGTGTGACAGTGTGTGGGAGATTGTGACAGTGTGTGGCAGTGTGTGGGAGATTGTGACAGTGTGTGGCAGTGTGTGGGATATTGTGACACTGTGTGACAGTGTGTGGCAGTGTGTGTGAGATTGTGACAGTGTGTGGGAGATTATGACAGTGTGTGGCAGTGTGTGGGAGATTATGACAGTTTGTGACAGTGTGTGGGAGATTGTGACAGTGTTGGAGATTGTGACAGTGTGTGGGAGATTGTGACACTGTGTGACAGTGTTAGAGATTGTGACAGTGTGTGGGAGATTGTGACAGTGTGTGGCAGTGTGTGGGAGATTGTGACAGTGTGTGGGAGATTGTGACAGTGTGTGGCAGTGTGTGGGAGATTGTGACAGTGTGTGGCAGTGTGTGGGAGATTGTGACAGTGTGTGGCTGTGTGTGGGAGATTGTGACAGTGTGTGGCAGTGTGTGGGAGATTGTGACAGTGTGTGACAGTGTGTGGCAGTGTGTCCCAAGGTGTGGCAGATTGTGACAATGTGTCACCGTCTGTGACTGTGTGTCAGTGTGTAGCTGTGTCTTCAATGTGCCCTATAGTGTAATGTGCCATTTCTTCGCTTAAACTTACCCGAGCTTTCTTTCCGCTTATTTACATTTACTACTCATTTCAACGATATTTTCATGATCAACTTTAATTAGTTTTGTTTTGCTAGTTTTATAACCTTACTTAACTGATTATAAAAATGAACTCTTAAAGTTTATTTAACACTTGCCATCTGTAGTTCATTTCTCTCTCCCATATTCTTGGTTCAGAAGAGTAGGTAAGAATTATAACTTTAAAATATACCTAGTCGTTTGTGGCGTATGTTCACCTAAAATAGTACGTTACTGTAAACAGAGAAACAAATGCTCCATCGTATTGATTTCTTCCAATAAAAAATAAAATTGAAAAAAATCCTACATAGAAAAGTCGGTCAAATAAACATATTTCGTCTCCTTGGTAAGAAGCCTCTTTTTTTTCTATTTTCTATTTCATCGACAACACACCATGAAATATACATTTATGGAGAGGAGTAAAACATTGCAAATAATCAGAGGGAAAACTTTACATTCTCTGAAAATTGAAGCCCATTCGACTCTTCAAGTAAACTATACAACACTGAGAACATTTTTAAAAATGAGCTGTAATGTAACAGTATGGTTCTAATTGGTCAATCTATTCTATATTTAACCCCATCTTTTAATAGTACAGATAAGGCATCATCTACCTCGCTCTAAAATAGCGGAGCTGATGTAATTTAAAGTGCTATTTATCATAATCTTTTGGCACGGTATGATATTTATTTATTTGATATTTATAAATGTTATTTATTTATTTGATATTTATAAATGATGTTTATTTTCAACATCATGGATCGTATGTAGAGTGAGCCTATTATACCCCACCATTTGGGGGGGGGGGGGGAATGAGCACCTTATATTTTTTACATTTCAATTTGAAAATAAATTGATAAATTTCTGGATGAAATAGTTTTCTGGCAAAAACATCCCGCACTGAGATTATCCTAACCCGGTGTTTGGGGTTTCTCCCAGTCGTTATCTGACCGTCAACATCATTAACAAGAATGTTGGAGCGACAGTGAGGGAAATAAAATGTTGTTTGGTTGCACTCAAGGGGGGTAATAGGTTTATGTGAGCAGATAGGGGCAGACAACCGAATCTGGTTGCAGGGGCGATAACAAGAGGCAACCACCGATACCCGGGCTGTGACGTCAGCGACGTTGAGCAAAACACGCCGTTAATGACAGGTTAACTCTATACAACCCAGCAACATGGTCGTTACTCAACAGTTTGGTCGTCATTGAGGGGTGGGGGGGGGGGGGGCACAGTTTTTTAGACCGCGACATACGCCAGGTGACACGGACAGGAAGTTGTTACTGTAAGACATTTTTTTTCTGGGGGATGGGGTTGGGGAGTGGAGGGGGGGGGTAGATATTTTTAAAAGTACAAATGGTTCTCCTGTAACGTTGGTGGTATTGGCAGGTCATACTGAACTGTACACATGCACAGAGTTCAGTGTTTTTTCCAGACATTTTTCTCCGGTGGGCACTTGAAATTTTCGGGGGGGGGGGGGGGGGGGGGTAGACTTTCTTCGGGGGGGGGGGGGGGGCGGACACTGTTAAAAGTATATATTTTCTACATAAATTATATAAATTTCATTTCGTTCGGGGGGGGGGGGCGGTAGAATTTTTTTCGGGGGGGGGGCGGGGGGCAAGAAACTCTGACAGAATTTCAATGTCTTAATGCACATCGGGAATGGTAGCCGTCCTTGGGACCACAAATCCCTTTAGTATCACATTATCTGGGATTAGGTGTCACATTACATGTAAGTCAAATAGCAGGATCAAAATTATATTCGATTTTAAGAGCGCGCAATAGTTGTTTATAAGATTTTCGAATGTACAGATGAAAACTGTCTTTATTGAAGCACAACTAGCACCCGTCACCAGAAGCATTGGCCAACTTCCAGTGTGTGGGTCCATGGATGGAACTATAACCCCTCCCCCTCCCCTAACCACCACCCCACACGCCTACGCCTCTACATCCATCTAAACAACCTAACCCTTATTATAAAACCGAACCGTGTTTTTTGCGACCATTAAACCTGGCAGACGTATAATTTTATGTTTAATGCTTGTAAAGCTTTTATTTAGGTTCCATTACAATTTTATAAATAGAAATGCTGTCAATTTAATCTAAATTTATTACGGAAATAACCGGAGAAGATAATTCTACTTTCACTTTAAAGAGAGTCGAGAGTTGTCCCCCGTGAGCTGTGCTAGCATTGGATTTATCTGGTTTCCCATTGTGGGGTGATTTACTCTCTGATAAGTCCAGCGTCCGACATTCAGCATTTCCCATAGAGGTTTGGGGGGAGGGGGGGGGGGTGGGACATGAAGAGTTATGGTTCCTGGATATTTCTATTTGTTTTCATGGCTTTTAAATACCTCAGTCTAAAACCCGGCAAAAAAATAAAATAATAATCTTATGACAAAAACAAAAACAACATATTCCGCATTCTGGTTTTATGAACTCTGATTACACCCCTTCATGCTATTTAAGACGGTTCCTTTTTTAACTTTAAAATTGCCAGAAGTTTTATAAATACAACTGAAAAAAAATTATAATTGCATTCTTATCAGTGTAGAAATGTTTCTTTAAGTCTGAAGAGGACATTCTTTATGCCAGAGAAAAATGTCCAGAGCTGAATGGGGAATACAACACTTTAATGGCGCAGGCTGCTAGCGCCGAGCAGAAATAAAACAACACTAAAATCTAAGAATTACCGATATTCTAGAACATGGACACGCGCTGATAAACATAAAAAAAAAACAGTTGAAAACACTTGAAGTATTTTTTTTTTAAAATCTCACAGAGGAAGAAATTGATAAAAAAAATATTTCAGCACGTCAGTTGTTTTTTTTTACATATCATAACGTTTTATTTGAACTATTCGTTCTTAGTTCGCTCGTCTTCTGTAGCTTGATGTGTGTGAATCTTGAGGTTGAACCTGCTACCTGAACGTGGGTTGGGATGTTAAACCTGTAAGCTAAACGTGGATCTTTATGTTAAGCCTGCTGTCTAACGTGGGTTGGGATGTTAAACCTGCTAGCTAATGTGGGCTTTGATGTAAACCTACTAGCTTAAAGTTACAGTGTTGGTTTTTTTAAGATGGTTCCCCTGCTATTTACAATCATCTGTTTACCATTATCCAGTAAGAACTATGACGAGTCGTCTTCAACTTCCCTCCCCCCTCCCTCCCCATGTGCAGCATTTCCAGTACACTCATTTGTTTCCTCTCAATTCAAACTACATTCATACAAATTGTGGCTTCATTGTTTCTCACAATTTATGTGTACTAGAATATACATTCATACAAATTGTGGCTTCATTGTTTCTCACAATTTATGTGTACTAGAATCTACATTCATACAAATTGTGGCTTCATTGTTTCTCACAATTTATGTGTACTAGAATATACATTCATACAAATTGTGGCTTCATTGTTTCTCACAATTTATGTGTACTAGAATCTACATTCATACAAATTGTGGCTTCATTGTTTCTCACAATTTATGTGTACTAGAATATACATTCAAACAAATTGTGGCTTCATTGTTTCTCACAATTTATGTGTACTAGAATATACATTCATACAAATTGTGGCTTCATTGTTTCTCACAATTTATGTGTACTAGAATATACATTCATACAAATTGTGGCTTCATTGTTTCTCACAATTTATGTGTACTAGAGTCTACATTTAAACAAATTGTGGCTTCATTGTTTCTCACAATTTATGTGTACTAGAGTCTACATTTAAACAAATTGTGGCTTCATTGTTTCTCACAATTTATGTTTACAAATCTATTCACTCTTCCAGCGTACCTGGGGAAAAAATAGCCCACCGCTTTTCGGTTGTTAGATAAAATAAATGTAGCTAATTTAAGCACAGCTTGAGAAATACAAAAACAAGATGGCTCGAATTTGTTGGGTCTAAAATAAACAAACTTG